TATTACAGATCCACCGTAGTCGTGATCCTCGACATTAAAGGTGTCTTCGATTGGGTGAATCAATGCGACCTTTGGGACTGTCTACTAAGGAAAGGTGTGCTCAAGAAATATGCAAATGTCATAAAAGTGCTCTACACGAACATTTTACGCAGAATGAGGGTGTACGGTTATACTTACGCCGCCCTACATTATTTGAAGCGATGTAAGACAAAGTTGCTCCGTGTAACCCTTCCTCTTCAATTCCGCCATTGACAAAATCAGGGACATGTGGAGCTGTTCCCAGGTAAGCGACTTCTTGATTTGGGTTATGCCGATGATATTACCCTAATCTGTGACCGCTGCCAAACCTGTCAAGCAGCACTGACCTTCAGCCATTTCGGGCCACGTTTTTGCACCCACGATATGCAAAGTGCGTCTGGCAGGGATCCACCATTACACTGATCCCTGGTGGTGAAGAGCTAAACTTGTTCAGAAATTCCACTACCATGACAAGTATGGTAGTTTCCGTGGGATCGAAGATGTAACCAAGAAGTGAATAGCAAAAGTTTGATGGGCTATTGCCTAGCTGGACAACCTACATTTCGAAAGAGGCATTACCATTTTTCTTTGTAAAGCAGAGTTTACAATGCAACCGTCCGTTCAATCCTACTGTACCGTTACGAAACCTGGCCCATAACGGACAACTTGAATGGCGTTTATGTTGTGAGTCTCTTGGTCCCTCCTCACTCCTTTAGCTTCCTCCTCCAACAACGACCTCAACTCAATACTTAATATGATTGCGTCAGTATGTTAGCATTTGCAGTCTCTAATTTTTAATCACCTAGCTTTTTGTGTTTCGGAACATTAGCTGTAGTGTGTTTCTCACCCTCGGTCGATGTGTATTGATGATGAAAATGATGCTCTAACACGCAATGCAGAGTGAATATATGGTCTATACGGCCCCGCAACAGGCGGAAACCTGCCTGCTATTCCCTAATGCGGGGTTTCCGTTCCGCGCTGAGGCGATGAACGAAAATCGAGGCTACTAGTTTTGGCACTACGGGCGTTGAGCTAATACCCCAGCGGTTAGCACAGTGGGGGCGACTGCCCTTTTTTAAATCGTCACTACAATTGATTCACTCCAGTTAGCTGGGATGTACTTTGCCTTCCAGACCTGTTCAAAGAGGAGGGGAGCAATGCTTTGCAGAGGACCTCACCACCATCCTTAAATAGTTCGGGTGGGAGCGAATTCGGGCCAACAGCAGGAAAACGATTAAGGGATGTAATCGCTTTTGA